ACTAATATTTTTTATAAATTGAGTTAAAAATACTCTGTTGTGATGGTTTAGGTAATTATTAAAGAGCTGTATCGTTTGCTATTTTATTTATTTTTCAAGCTTTCAGTTGAGTGGTAGAACAAATATATATAACCCGATGAAGGAAAGATAATTTTGAGGAATATAGAAGTGTTTAGATTTACATAGAAATATAATGTTAAATTTTAAGGAGCGCTTATTATGAATTTGAATAAATTATAATTACAATATATATATGAGTATTGCTTTATAAATTAATTTATTATTTATTTTTATTATTATTCATTTAGCATGAAAACTAAATTGATGGACTTGAATGATATATTGGCAATAAAATAGAGCCTAACATCAAGGACACGCAAACAGCTATTTATGCTTAATGCATTTAAATAATTTATAAAAATTTTAATATTTTTATTTATTATCATGAGTTGATTAGTTGAATAAAAAGATTATATATGTATTATATATTAAGGCGCACACTATTACACTCACACATAAAACCCTTTAAAATATCCTTTAGATGTATATTTTATTAAAATTTGATATATGTGAAGTTTTAGGAAATCTATTTAGGAAAGTTTATTTATTTTTGGATTATAATAAAAATATACGCAGCAATATATTTATGTATTTGTTGTTAAGTTTTGAACTTAAATATTAAAAAAATAAGATCATATAAGAAAATATTTATATATGTGTTACATATTACAAACGATGATTAACATATGTGCATGTATAAAATACAAATAGAGAAACTTATATACATACATATATATAAAATATTTAAGTGTATCGATTGATTAATTATATATTAATGAAAATGCAAAATTTTATTAATATGCTGCGCTTAAAAAATTATAAAATATAAATCATTGCAAAAAAAAAATTAGCAAAAATTTGCAAAATTATTGAAAAGTATTTCAAATTGTACGGCCAAGAGATATGTAAGAAAATATTTATTTTAAAATTAAAAAAAAAAAAGAATAATAGATTGTATAAATGGTAATGGTTGAAAGTGATGGAAAAACACGATAGCAACAAAAAGAAAAATAATTTATATTAATTAAATAATATATATTTATTTATGTATATGTATAACCATATATATATATATAATAATAATAATAATAGCAGAGAGATAAATACTGAAATCGTAATAATATATTAATTGATATATACGTGTATACTATAATATAATAAAAACATAATAAATATATTATAAACTTAAATTTTTTATTAATTCATTTAAAAAAAAAACAATCCAATATTATTTTAAAAAGTACACAATTCCAATTTTCTTAAGTAATTATTTAAACACCAGTTCAGGATCTGCCATTCAAATCTGTGGACCGGAGCCATATTGTGGATTAAGTTGGTCTACAACTAGGTCTCTGATTGATAAATAGTTTTCTGCCGAAAGAAGTCGCTACTGGCGCGACATTACAGCTAACCCTCAGGCTAAGGAGTTAGTTTATCCTTACAGTTATGGTAAGGCATCCTTCTTCAGCAGAACAGAATTGAGGTTGCTGGTGGAATATTTAACGTGTCACCATGAACTGCGTTATCACCTTAACATTATGGGTCTGTCCGAAGAGATAGATTGTCGACTCTGCTTAGAAGCAGACGAAACTTCCAGTCACATTCTCTGTGACTGTCCAGCCTTGATCTAGGCCAGGAGGAAGTCACTGCGTCGAGAACTGGTCTGACATTAGGAGATCCTCAACGGCCGACATTCTAGCTTTCATTTGGAAGGCGGAATGTCTTCTGTTCGGTTAGGGTCTGTTGCAGCATAAAACATCAACCATGGTAGCAGTGCTCCGCTCCTTTGGAAGTTGGTACACTGTTTAATCCTATTCCTATGTCAAACATTGGAAGCGAAAGCAAGCTCAAATAAAATAAACCAAATCTGTCATAAATTGAACCGAAATGTAAGTTATTAATAAAACTAATAAGGCTGAAATTATTCACTCTTTTTATTGTAAAATATGAATTTAAATTCAAATTCAAATTTGGATTAAAATAAATTTATTTCTCATCAAGCTTGATATTTGCTTACATTTATACTCCTCTGTACATTGTCAATCCAGCAACTTTATAGAAACTTGCTTTCTCCGTTTTCCTTGCTAGCGATCTAACTTCTTGAATCTATCGAAAACATAAAAATTATACTGGTAAGATGGTAATCCTTAGACGATCCATTTATACACCATTTTTTATATTAAAAGTTATTAGATATTAATATAAAATGGGCATATTTATGTCACACTAAGCGCTTCCAATAAAGCTAAAGCGGACTGAGAGCGGTAGGGGTTTTCTCGGGTCTGCGAGATCTGAATTGTTACTAATATATTGAAAACTTTTACCTCCGGATATATTTTTTTTCGCTGCTGGTTCCATATATGCTTAGCCTACCACTGAAATGAATCAAATAATAAATAATTCTACATATATCACTTTAGCATAATACAGAGGAATATAAAATTTTGTCCTTTACTGGCTCCCTTAGTCTACCACTAAAATGGATTAAGCATAAAATAAATCTATATACATTTCCTTATCGTAATGCTAAAAAATGGACTTTATTCTTTAGCAAACAATTTCCAAAATTAAATACAATTAGCTCCTAATCAAGTAAAACATTGTAACTTTTATAAATATTTTATACTATAACTAACACTAACGGAATATAAGGATTTAATTCTTACGAACAAATTCTCGAAAGTTCCCTTGTTGTAGAGTCTCTAATATAAGATGACGACAACATTCTCCTTCTGATCCAGAGCAAAACAGTCACAAATAATATGACTATAACTTTGATTTTATCACAACAGTCCATTATTTGCTTTGGTGTACAAGGCCGCCACTGCAAACTCCAACCCAGGTTCATATCCTCCCAAACACAAACAACATTCACAAAACCAATCACTTGACATAACATATAATATTTTTAAAAAACTAACAACTTTGTTGATTTTAATTTTATTTAAATTTATTTTTCAAATAATTTAATATTAATATTGCTTTAAACATTTATGAACCTCTATATGTGCTATAGCCGAATGGATTTAAAAGCAAAGGAATGTGATAATGTTGACCCTTCGTACATTCAGCTATTATTTCGATAAAAGGATAAAAGCTTTTCACTTGATTTTGTTCGAAATATGGACGGACATTGAAATGTAATTTATAGATGCCAGTTTGAAATTGTTCCAAAGTTATTAGTTGCGTTACTC